GGGAAGCCTCTGCCTTGGGGCTGTCGGAGCAGCAGCCTCGTAGGAGAACCTGGATGCCTGGGGCTGCAAACGAGACTTTCCTGACCCGTGTCCTGTGCCTGGGCAAGAGCATCTTTGCAGGTTTTCTAAGGAACTAAAGATCTTTAATAGCTTTTTTTTCCCCTTTTTCTCCCCTCTTTATGCCCACCCCCCAGGTAAGTGCTAACATGGGCTGAGGCCCCTTTGTTGCCGTGAGCTTGGCTGTTTGCACCCGGAGGCATCGCTTGCTGCGACAGAAGGATTTGGGGGCCGTGTGGGTTGGAAAAGCCCACCTCTTTCTTTTTTTTTTTTTTCTTCTTTCAGGAAAGCCCACCCAAGGGTTACGTGAGGTTCCCGCACAGCTGGCCGGCGCTGCTCAGATCTGTGCCCGTGTTTCAACCTGGGTTTGAAAGCCTGGGCACAACCTTTTAAATAAAAACAAAACAAACAAACAAACCAAAAATAAATGTGATTAAGCGCAAACATGCCCTGGTCCTGCTTTGGAAGGCATCAGGCTTGCTTGCCCTGGACCTCGCTGGTTTTCTGCGGCTGCTCTCATGGCGTGTGTCCCCAGCGCTCCTCTGCCCACCGATGCCATTTGTGGCGGAGCACCAGGAGCCGAAAGCCACAGCACGGCCGTGCTACCAACCCATGGGGGAGGTGGACCCCATGATGCCATTTGTACCTGGAGGGAGTGAAGCCACTTACCTCCGGGGATGAGGGGCCGCCCCTCTCAGCGGTGAGATGTTCAGAGATCCATCCAAGAGAAGACACCGTCAACTGGACCCTCGCTCTCCTGATGAGGGCTTGAAGACTCCTTCAGCTCTCTGGGAGGGCAGCGGGGAGCAGATGTCTTTGGTCCTTAAGCTGATAATAGACTCAGGAGTATAAGCTGGTCAGGTGTTGGGTATTAGCCTCAAAGCCCCCGGGGTAATCGGTGGTGGGGCTGCGGGGAGGGCGAGGATGAGGATGGGGGAGGAAGGGTGGGTGGCCGGGATACCTGGGAAGCCCTTGAGCTCCTGCCATGGGTGTCTGGGTCCTGCTGGGACAGAAGGACTGACCTGTGGTGGGAATCGGAGCAGCTTTCACCTGGTTTTGGAGGGGATGGAGAGGAGGGGAGCTGGGGGTGAGGGAACCTCCAGGGGTTGGAGCAGTCTCATCAGGGACCGGGAGCAGCTCCGGCGGCTCTTGGTCCATCAGGGTGTGAGGAGCCGGGACGGTGCTGGAGGAAATTCATCATTTCCCTCGTCCTTGCGCTGGTGGAGCCGCGGGCTCAGGAAGGGCCAAGCCCTTACGTGGGTTTTGCTCCCGTCTGGCCGGTGCAGAGTCGCTGGGGCTGAGGACCGGAGCCCGGGAGGCCCCGAGGAAGCAGGAGGAGGAGGAGGAGGAGGAGAAGAAGAGGGTGGAGGGGGATTTCCAAGCACCGGGAAAGTGGGAATTTCCTGCCCTCTGCACAGCCTCACCCGTGGGGATGTGGAGCGTTTGTTAGCAAAGCACGGAGAAGGACACGCTGTCCCGGCCGAGGGAAGGACGGGTCACTTGTCACATCCCTCAGTGCCCTCAGCTGAGCGAGGTCTGGGTGATGCCATGCGGGGTGCCACGGGGCTTTTCCGGGGAGGAGGACCCGGCAGCTAAAGCGCTGCCCATGGCTGTACCTCTTGCCTGGGGAAGGGAAAGGAATCGCCCCCCCCGGATGTGCCCGAGCCCGGCTCAGCCCCACGGCTACCGAGTGGCTCCCCGGGGGGGGGGGGGGGGGGGCGCGGGGGTTGCCCGACAAGAGCTGCCCCCGGTACCCGGCGTGGGGGATGCGCTGGGAGAGCTCGGAAACTTTTTGTCAACAGGCAAAGTTTTCATGCGGGTGGGGTGGTCCCGACTCAGGGGATGCTGCGGGGAGCGTGGGAACCGGCCGTCTGTCCGTCCCTCCGTCCCTCCGTCCGTCCGCACGGCGCGGCGGGGAGA